TCAATTTTGAATAAATCCCCAACAGTGTCACCAGCAAAACACCCCCACACCATCACACCTCCTCCTCCATGCTTCACAGTGGGAACCAGGCATGTGGAATCCATCCGTTCACCTTTTCTGCGTCTCACAAAGACACGGCGGTTGGAACCAAAGATCTCAAATTTGGACTCATCAGACCAAAGCACAGATTTCCACTGGTCTAATGTCCATTCTTTGTGTTTCTTGGCCCAAACAAATCTCTTCTGCTTGTTGCCTCTCCTTAGCAGTGGTTTCCTAGCAGCTATTTGACCATGAAGGCCTGGTTCGCGCAGTCTCCTCTTAACAGTTGTTCTAGAGATGGGTCTGCTGCTAGAACTCTGTGTGGCATTCATCTGGTCTCTGATCTGAGCTGCTGTTAACTTGCGATTTCTGAGGCTGGTGACTCGGATGAACTTATCCTCAGAAGCAGAGGTGACTCTTGGTCTTCCTTTCCTGGGTCGGTCCTCATGTGTGCCAGTTTCGTTGTAGCGCTTGATGGTTTTTGCGACTCCACTTTGGGACACATTTAAAGTTTTTGCAATTTTCCGGACTGACTGACCTTCATTTCTTAAAGTAATGATGGCCACTCGTTTTTCTTTAGTTAGCTGATTGGTTCTTGCCATAATATGAATTTTAACAGTTGTCCAATAGGGCTGTCGGCTGTGTATTAACCTGACTTCTGCACAACACAACTGATGGTCCCAACCCCATTGATAAAGCAAGAAATTCCACTAATTAACCCTGATAAGGCACACCTGTGAAGTGGAAACCATTTCAGGTGACTACCTCTTGAAGCTCATCGAGAGAATGCCAAGAGTGTGCAAAGCAGTAATCAGAGCAAAGGGTGGCTATTTTGAAGAAACTAGAATATAAAACATGTTTTCAGTTATTTCACCTTTTTTGTTAAGTACATAACTCCACGTGTTCATTCATAGTTTTGATGCCTTCAGTGAGAATCTACAATGTAAATAGTCATGAAAATAAAGAAAACGCATTGAATGAGAAGGTGTGTCCAAACTTTTGGCCTGTACTGTATATATATACATATTTGTAATATTTATAATTATTTTGTTCACTTAATCAATTAATATTCCTGTTATTACTTTTCGACTGGTCATCAGTGACTTGAATGCACTGTCAGCCGTCATTGCGACTTCTGACAACTGTCAAACAGCTGTGAATGTGTTGATAAGCTGTCATCTGTTTGCGGCTCAGTCGATGTGACGTATTGTCCGCTGTGCAGAGGATTGTGGGTCAGCATAGCCAAAAAAGCATGCTGTCCTGCATTCTGCCAACTCGGACTGGATGTAGTAGAACATCCTGGTATTTTTGGCATACTGCATTTGACATACTATGTATTGGGACATACTAAATCTTTTTCTGACATACTGTATAGTATGGTTCAATGGATATTGGAACGCACAGGTATTTTATCCACCTAAAATAAGTCCCACCTATAAAACATTAACATCAGTTTAAGTGCATGTTATATTTAGAATAGAAGAGTAGAGCAGCTGGCAACAGGAAAGTGTAGCTGTTCTGTCGCGCTCTTCAAAACCAGACTCCATTTAGAAAAATAGTAATTTAGCTTTGCTGAACACAGGAGCTGCTGGTTTACCGTCACCCCAAACAGTTATTTTGTTTGTGTTATTGTGTGAATTAGGTGTTTAAAACGGTTAGTTTGGATTCACCTAATTCACACAATAACACAAACTAACTAACTGATTGAGGCAGCAATACACCAACAGCTGTTGTATACACTGAGCTAAAAATACTGCTTTTGTTAATGGAGTCTGGTGGAAAGGAAAAGCGGTGAAAATATTCTTAATACAGCATACACTTCAGCTGATAATGATCTTTTTAGGTGGCACTTTGTTTAGGTGGCTAAAATAGGTTTAGTGCTGACCTCCATCCACAGCAGTGCATTGCTTAGCTTCTGTATCAGACTGGAGTCTGCTTCTCCAAACTGGAGGCATGCTGACTGACCTCTATTCTATGTAATACACTGACTATGGGTAAGTAAATTATACAGTCCCACTTAAAAGAATCTGAACTATCTCTGTAATGTGTAGGGAAAAATCCATTATAACATGCTTTCACTGTAGAGATACATATCAGCTGTTTATCTTCTGAGGTGACTGTGTCATGTCAGCTGCTCTACATACATGACTGAGATGTTGTTTCTGGCTCCTCTGACACTTTTCTGGTCCATCCAAATGTGTCATCACAATTAATATTATAATAACTATAATATTATATAACTGTAATAGACATGATTTAAAACAATATTAAATTTTACATTTGGAGGATTTTGGGGTGACATACAACATACAACTTTTATTACGCAGCACACAAGACAATCTTTAATATGAATTCTGTACTTTTCAAAACTTATAAAAACCCATCTTCTCATTAGTGTCACATAATGTAGTCATGTAAGGAAAGAACTGAAGTTGTTTGGTTTTCATTTGAATGTGAACGTTTAGAGAATTTAATTAACAAAAATCATTCCATGTAGCTGATATGAAGATACAACATACAACTGAATGTTTGCAAGTGTTCATGTGTAAAATTCAGCAAATGATCTCCACATGTTTATACTATATACACACTAAAAAAAAGGCAATACTGTTACTCATACTATGAACTAAATGGAGAGAATGTAATGGTATATTTTGTACAGTTTAATCATGTTTTATAACTCACAGTTGTATAAAGTTTGTTTCTGAGCATGAAAACACATGTATGAAATGTCACAGGGCCACACTGTGTGCAGCCGAACAAGCGCCCGAGGTCAATCCAAATAGTAGAAAACAGGTTTGTCTGCTGTGTTCTGGGCGTCTCCTTCAGTCACCCAAAGGCACAGTTGTTAAAGCGGGAAGATTAGACCAGTTCAAACCTGTATGGAAACAGGAGGAAGGTGGTGTTTGCTTTTGATGCCAGTGTTAATATGACATTTGCAGTCTCTCTTCACTCAGCTGTCAGAGCTTTTCATGTTACATTAAAGGTGGAATTATTGTCAACTTATATACAGCATGGGCCTGTTTTTATTTTGCAAGACAAGTGCTTTAAAATCTCTGTTTCAGCATTCGCTGAGGAAGTTATTCTATGAAGATTTTGGAGAGATATGGGAATTTTAGTGCACAGTGGTGTGCAGATTTATGATATTTCAAAAATGCTGCATTAGCTTGTTGTTTGTTACAGGTATTTGCATTGAAGAATGGATCAAAAATCCTGTTTGCATTTTCCCAGTTTAAATGATTTTTTAACCTTTAAATGAGTCTGACATAGTCACACCTCTCCCAGTACAGCCATATTGAGGATAACTTTAAATAAGATTAAAAGAAAAAAAAAGTGCAAATAAACTTGTTGTATAGTGTTACCCATGATAATCAGGCCATGATTAAATGTTAAACAACCACAAACTCATTTTTGTCTCATCTGCGAGCCTGTGAGCAGAGCAGGTGAGGGTTAAGGGCCTTGTGGTCGCCCTCATGGGTGGTAATGAGGGATCAATCAGATTTATCCTCATCAAACCAGGAAGCTTCAGGGTCTCTGACCTTTAGGCCACCACTGCCTCTATAGTGATGCTGTTGCCTGATATCAGACACAAGGTAGGCCTCTGCTAAGTGACAACAAGGCTTCACATTTTCAAAGTCAAGTCCACCCAGTTTGGTTCTGGAGCTTTCGACTGTATGACAAGTTCTTCTTCAGTAGATGGAGTTTGCTCTGGTGTACAGTATGCTCTGAGCATTTTAAGGATTTCTTGTTCATGTTGCCTTAAAGCTTGTAGATTGAAGTGGGAAAAATAAATTTCTGTGACAAATGGGCGACTTCATTTGCTGAGGAAGGTTATGTGACACGATCAAAAGCTCCAGAAGAGCTACCGAGTGGAACTCATAGTGAGATTGTTTTTGTCAGCTGTATTTACAATTTTATGATGTTTGTGATAACATAATGCCACACTATAAAGAATATGAGTCAAATACTTCAGACCACAACATGTCAGAATTATTGGTTTCCTCTTCTACACATCACAGTCAAAGATACTGTTGAAAAGATTACCTTTATTTTGATTTAATTTGATCTGAATCATCATCAGCTTTAATGGCTTTCTGTTTTTTTCCCGTTGCTCTCAATGTACTTACAAAGAAATAGACATAACAGCTATGATTATCAAAACAACAATAGAAGTATTAGTATTAGTATTAATATTATACTTTTTGCTTCTCAGTTGTGAGGATTTACTCAATTTCTTTGTCATATATTATAGGAAACTTATTTTCTATTTTTATTTATTTATTTATTTATTTTCTATCAAGCAATTTGATGGTGTTCCCTTGAGCTCTGGAAAATAATTTAAAAATTAAAAATTATTTGAATAAATGTATTTGACATTTTATTCTTAAATAAATAAATAATAATAATGATATAAGAAGAAGATTTTATTATTATTATTATTATTATTATTATTATTATTATTATTATTATTGTCAGATTGGTCATGAAAACAGTTAAAAATGTCTACCTAAAACATTCAAGAGACCAAGGGGACATCATCAAATTGTTTGACAGAAAATAAGTAAGTAAACAGATAGATAAATGAATAATCATTAATCTATAATATATGACAAAGAAATGGAGCAAATCCTCCCACTTGAGAAGCTGAAAGTATGAAGTATAATTCAGAGAGATTCTGAAATAAATGTATTTAAAATTCAAATGTATGTACATTTATTGAAATTACTTTAAAAAAATTAAAATAAAACTGTTAAAGAAATTATTATTCAGTCCCCCTTATATTGGCCATGTTAAACCGTGTTAATCGTGCTTTACTTTAATATGTTTATTCAATTTCAGTCATCTTTACTGATCTGTTTGCGGGTGTGTCCTTGTCCCACTGATGTGTCCCCAGAGGAAGTTCACCTGGGCGGCACTAGGACCGAGCGGAGAACAGGTCACAGACGCACTTTACAAGCAGCAGAGGGGAGGTTTCAATACGGCTGGAATTTGAACAAAGTTCCTGATAAATAGCCCACATTGTTATCTGTTATCTAAAACAATACGCTTTGTGTTTTTAAAAGCAGAAACCTCTCTTAAACAGGGCGCCATTTGTCGCGTCTATGTCTCCTTCCTCTGTGATCTTCCTGAAAACACCTGCGTGATTCAGGTAACTCACCGGTGGAGAGAGGGAAGTTCTTTGGCACTGAGCGGCGACAAGGTAAGGCCTCTTCCAGATCACCTCCACCATGTAGCACCATGAGACCACTATCAGATGAGCCAGAGCTGTAGAAGGCTTTATCTTAATGAGGTGTTGGATCAGAGCTGTGTCCAGATAAGTTTGTAGTGGCTGCTGTGAGGGGACGGGTCCTCCCTCTCAGGTCCCTTCCTACTTTACACACAATAAAGGCGCTGGCTGCACACAGGCTGAAGGACGGACACTCTCCTGTAATGTTTCACCAGTTAAACAGCCTACATGTTACCTGTACAGTTCCCTAACAGCAGCAGTGATCAGGTGAGTGTTACAGCAGAGGAGAGGCTGTTGTTTTAGTGCTGTAAATGTCCTGATGTTGAACAGGACACACCCGTCCAGTCTGTAACGTGCAGAGCAGCTCAGGGTTTGTGTGTTAATGTTAGGAAGAAAGCAGCCATTGGAAAGGACACAGAAGGTCAGCATGCAGCCTGACAGAATCACAGAGCAGGACACTGTGATGATGGTGGTACGGCACATGTTGGTTCTCTTGGCACATCAGTATCAGCATATACTGTATCTGTGTGTGTGTGTGTGTGTGTGTGTGTGTGTGTGTGTGTGTGTGTGTGTATCTGTGAAGTCGAGCAGGAAATCAGGCTCCTAAATGGCAAAGTAAAACACAGAAATCATAAATACAGTATTAATTCAGTGAGTAAGGTATTAAAGTAGGGATGCTCTGATCCAACAGAGTCCATGACCTCATCTATACTGAGAGGAACGCTCATCCAATAGCAGTGCTCCTTGTTTCACATATGTAAAATAGATATCCTTGGAGTCATCTGTATGCAAAGTAACCTGAGGTCAGGAGTAAATGTAGTGTACAGACAAGAATCCAACAATTAAATACATATTACGATACAGGGGTTATGATCCAATGTGTTGTGGTGTTTTGTAAGCAAGGCAATATAATGGCATTTTAGGAGAACTGTTATGGTAGGCTATAACACACTATAATGCAATGTTTAAATTTGTATGCAGTCAGAAGAGTGAGATCTGCGTTTGTATCCAACATGGCTCTCCTTTCTGTGCAGTCCAAGCAAAAGACTTAACAATCTGCAAGAATCAGTAAAAATAAGTATATAAAAATGGACGATTCTTTATGTAAACTAATTGAGAAAATGTTAAAAAGACGTTAAAAATCAATGTAATTTTTGATAATCAGTACAGTACCATAAATCGCAACAGTTATGTTTATCAATATTTTCTTAAATATGCCGCTAAACACTGAGTCTGTGAGCCACCATGACTGAATGAATGTACCTAAGAGCAGAATTTTATGATGACATCGACAAAGAAACTGTATTTAATATGGGTCAGTCATGTCAGAGCTGATATTTGATCCGTTTAATTAAGTCAGCACTTGCCTCAGTTCTGCCTATGGGCTTGATGCGTGAATGTGCACTAAGTCTCACACACTTACAGAATGGGCTGGGTAATATGGCTGAAATCAACATCATAATTAGAATGTTTTCCCAAAATGAAATACACGTGCAAAATAACCTATAAAATCATTATCAGTTTGATGTTTAATGCAGTTAACTGTATTTTTATGTTACGCACAGCGCAACCTTATTTTCTTGATGGGGAATCATGGCAGTGTCTCTTGGCATAAGTTTATATAACAAACAGTTTCTCAGGGTGACAACTGATCCTCGACTTTACCGTTATACTCACAACTGTCCCACTTAAAACATCGATAGGAAGAAACTAAAATTTCTTTAAGGACAAGGAGACATGGAAAAGCAACTTGTATAAATGTTACACATGAACAACTATACTAGATAAAGTGCTGTGAATGATAATAAAATTATTTGGATGTGAGTTATAATAATAGTCAAGTCAAGTTAATTTATGAAGCACATTTTATACGAAAGCGTAAACTCAATGTGCTTAAGATACATCATACATGACAAACAGGACATAAAAAAAACATAAGAGAAGGTATTATCACTATCATTAGTCTTAAAAAAGGGAGATAATAACAATAATAATATTAATTCTTAAAACAAACAAAAAATACACTTAAAAGCTTGTGAAAAGAGATATGTTTTTAAGTTTGCTTCTAAAAGAGAACACTGTTGTTGCAGAGCGTAGTTCATGTGGAGCTGTGTGACAGGAGAAAAAGTTTGAGGCACTCCATTAGGCTCAAGACATAGAAAACCTACATCTATCAGAATGCCCTGCACCGCACCAGGGGTCTCATTTATTTAAAAAAAAAAAATGTGTAGGATCCATACTAAAAATGTAAGTTTGATCAAAAACCTCACCATCTGCATCACCAATTTCCTGTCTCCAAAATGTTTGTCAGCATGGGTCAGAGTTTCTCCCATCAAGTCTGTTTTTGTAGCTCACATCGTTTGCGTTGGAAGTGGCGTACGCCTCTTTCAGGTCTTGTTTTGTGCGTACGCAGGGTTTATAAATGAGACCCCAGATCAGTAAGCACTGCTGGTGGGTGACGTAATCGAGCTTCGCTGTTTTGACACAGAAAACAATATGGCGGCGGGCCAGTAACAGAGAACCTTGACTTACAGTTTAGCAGTAAGCAGTTTCTGGAAACATTTTAGGTGTGAAATAGGCAGAATATTGGTTCATATTTTATCAGTGCTGCTTAGTTTTACTGTTTTTTTCAGCCTCTGTTTTTACAATACAGGAAACAGTCCCACTTCCTGTTGGCAGAGTATCTCTTTAATTAATTTAAACATCATTTTGTAAAATAGTGACATGATATGATCAATAGACAATCAAATATAATAATATCGAATTATCACCCAGCACTACTCTGTTTATTCAGTGAGTTAAAGTACTTTAATTGAGTTTCACTCACAGTTGAGATTTAACATGTACACCAAATTGCCAAGTGTCATTGTTCAAACAGACGCAGTGTGTGGGCCGTCATTACAATGCCAGAGAGCCATTTAATAGATGTCCGTGGGAAACACCTGCTTCAGCATCACAAGAAAAGCACTGTGATGCCGGTGCCAGTGTATCAGTAACATATTCCACAGACCATGATAAAAAGGACAATCAATTATTTGATTGTCCTCCCAGTCATTAGCTCTCCCTCATACGCACAGAGCATTCAGGACCCCTTTGTTAACAGCAGCGGCTCTCCCTGCCCATCCCATCACGTCTTTGTCAGAACAAGAGGACTGAAGCTTAATTGCAGGGTGTGCTTTGTGCGAAGGGATGGACAAATTAATTTGCATTTAAGCACATTGATGACATGTTTTAAATACTTTGTCCTTTAAATCATAAACTAAAATGCCATCACTTCATGTGTCGACACTGTTTGTCTTGTCCTGAGAGTAGAGCAGCAGGTGGTGGCTCCATAGTGATGGGTGCAGGAAGTTTGAACTGGTTTACTCACTTTAATTTATGATGTACATACAACAGATTTAACTTTTTTTTTTTTGACTCTGTGTTTTATGAGATGCATTTCCATGGCAAATCCACAGATTACAGAATTTAAAGTACAACCCCAATTCCAAGACAGTTGGGACGCTGACTAAAATGTCAGTAAAAGCAGAATGCAGTGATTTGTGAATCCCATTTGACCCATATTCAGTTGAATACAGTAAAAGACAAGATACTTAGTGTCCAAACTGATTAACTTTATTGTTTTTGTAAAATATACACCCATGCCTTTGATGCCTGAAACACCTTAAAACATAGTTTGTACAAGAGCAACAACATACTGGAAAAGCTGTCGAATACTCTCAAAACACCGGTTTGTAATATTTCACAGGTAAGCAGGCTAACTGGTAACAAATTAAAGTATCATGATTGGGTATGAGAGGGGCTTCCTTGCAAGGCTCAATTGTTCTCAAGTGAGGAACTGTGTGGGAAAATGGTCCAGCAGTGTAATACCAGCGTTTCTGGACTCACAATTGCAAAGAGTTCATGGATTTCACCATCTACAGTTCATTATATCATCAAAAGATTCAGAGAATCTGGAGAACTCTCTGCATGTAACAGGCAAAGCTGCAAACCAACATTAAATGCCCCATGACCTTTAACCCCTCAGGCTGCACTACATTTAAAACCAGTATGATTATATAAAGGATATTACCACACGGGCTCAGGAACACTTCGGAAAACCATTTTCAGTTTGTCACTGCATCTTCAAATGCAAGTGAAGACTCTAACATGCAAAGTGAAAACCAAATATCAGCAACATCCAGAAATGCCGCCAGTCGCTCTGGGCCTGAGCTCATCTGAGATGGATGTGGAAAAGTGTGCTGTGGTCTTATGAGTCCACATTTGAAATTGTTTTTGGAAAACACTGACATCACTGACGTCCTTTGAGCCAAAGAGGAAAAGGACCATCCAGATTGTTACCAGCACAAAGTCCAAAAGCCAGCATCCGTGATGGTATCGGGGTGTGTTGGTGCCCAGGGCATTGTGGGTAACTTGCACATCTGTTGAGGCACATACAGATTTTGGAGCAACATATGCTGCTGTTCAGAAAACGTGTTTTTCAGCAAGACAATGACAGCAACACACTCTGCACAAGTTCATAGTAAAAAAAAGTGTGGGTACTAGAGTGGCCTGCCTGCAGTCCAGACCTGTCTCCCACTGAACATGTGCAGCACATTATAAAGCACAAAATATGACAACAAAGACCCCTGACTGTTGAGTCATATATCAAACAAAATGGGAATGAATTTCAGTTTGAAAATAATCGTCAGTTCCCAAACTGACGATTATGCTTGTGCTTGTTGCACACATCAAATTCATAATGGGCGTATATTAAGTTTATCAGTTTGAACATTAAACATCTTGTCTTTGTACTGTATTCAATTGAATATACGTCAATTAAGGTTTGCAAAGCATTGCATTCTGTTTTTATTTACATTTTACACAGCATCCCAACTTTTTGGAAGTCAGGGTTGAATAACTGTAAGTATACTTTAAAACCCTCCAGCACAGTTCATATTGGCACACTGGAATGGATCTGGCAATAATTACAT